GCAAGGTAAGCTCTGAGCCCTCAGTTTAGTCTTCCTCTTCTCCCATTCATCCTTACCTGATGCAGCAAGTAAAACCCAACGAGTTCTCCAGCTGAGACAACGTTTAACCACCCAGTCCCCACCCCTGATGGTTTCAAAGCTCCAGGCAGCCAAACACAACCCATGGCAGCAGGCAAGCAGCAACCCTGGGAAATCAGGTCCTCCGTGTGTCCACTGCTATGGATCATCTCCATGGGATGGTTCCCAACCTGGAGAGTTCCAGCTCACTGCTGCTAATAGTGTTGCCCAGCCCTTTCTACATGGATAGATGATTTCCAGTGTTTTGCAGAATTTCTTCCATTTCTGAGAACAGCAATGATGAGCCCAAGCACTGTGCGTCATCTTGGCCACGGTTTGCCCATTATTTCAGAGATGCTCCACGTGCAGCACGGCCATCCCCCCCGGCCCTCATCCCCCAAGCTCAAGCGTGACACCGTGCACGAACACCAGCTGAGAGAACTCTTTAATTTTGCACCTTCATCTCATTGTTCTGCATTGAGGAAGCTCTTCTAATGTGGCAATTTCCCCCCTCCCCGCATCCCTCCACTCCCCACATGTCCTGGAACCCTCCTCATGATTAGTGCATGAGGACAGCACAACTAGAGGAACCCTGGGCAACGAGCCCATGGGTGAACCACACCACAAGAAATGGAGAAGGGTGTAGCAAGTTCTACCCGGTACCAGATACCCAACCTCCCTGATGTCCCCATGAGCTCTGCCTAATCACTGGTCCCAGTTGTGTCCTCCTCACGCCACATGCTGTCAGTCCTCATGGTTGCCCCAGTGCCTGGGAGCAGAGGAAGCTCCACACGCTGATCCCTGCAGGGATTTGCAGACATCTCAGAGAAGACATCAACCATGATGTTGCGGACAGTCTCTGTCAGCCCCGGGACATCCTTTGGGCTCAGGCCACGGGTTTCTATCTTGGGGAGAACTCGGATGGTGAACATTCCTGGAAATGGAGAGGAGAGGCGAAGGAGGCCAGGTCATCCCACCAGCATCCTCCACCACTGGACGCCTCCATGCACCTCAGAGTCCTTCATAAAGACCTCCAGCCCTCACGCGCCCCATCCCCACAGCCTCTGCAATGGGGCTTCTTGTCCTCAACTTACCAGGGGTGAATTTCTTCTCCTTGGAGCTGAAGAAATCCCAGTATGGAGAAATCACAACGGGGAAAATAGGAACCTGCAGGGGATGGAGTGTCATGCAGGCCCTTCCCCCCCTCATTTAACACCAGTAGGACTCTAGCTCCTGCCATGCCCCAGGTCCCTGCCACCTCCCTGGGCCCTGCAGTTCCCAGAAGACTCTAATGCCCCCCACCCCTCTTCGCCAAGGGCAGTTGATGGAGAATGTTCTGTGAGCTGTGGGAGATAACCACCCCAACTTGCTGCCTTACCTGAGCCTGCACAGCCAGGTGGAACGCCCCACGCTTGAAGGGCAGCATGGATCTGCTCTGGTTCCTGGTGCCTTCTGGAAAAATCCACACTCGGAGCTGCACAGGACAGGGTGAGATGCGAGCGTGGACCCCAGGCACCACCACCCCACCGTGACACCTGTGGTCCTCCCTGAACCCCCTCTACCCCCAGCCCAGTTTCTCCTGCTCACATTTTCACGCCGTATGGTCTTGGCCGTCTGGGAGATGACATCAATGGCATCTCCGGTCCTTTGGCGGTCGATGAAGATGATGCCACTGAGCCAGCAGGCCCAGCCCACAGTGCCCATGTACAGGAGCTCCTTCTTGGCAATGGGCACGCAGCGCTTGGGGATGACCTCCACCATTCCTGGAGGATGGATGGGAAGGAAAGGATCAGCCCCTGCCTCGTGGTTCCCATCACCAGCCACATCATAGAGTCCCAACCCTTTCTCTGCGTTGCACCCATAGCCCCGAGCTCAGCCCAACCCCAAAGGCTGCCCACATGGTGACAAAACCCTCCCCTCCCCTGCACGTACCCATCAGGTCAAGGGAAGCTTGGTGGTTGCAAACTATCACATAGGGCTCCTTGAGATTCAGGTGCTCGGCACCCAACACCTCTATCTTGATGCCATACAAGTGCTTGAGGGGCCGGATCACAGCACAGAGGAGCCTAGGGCAGAGGGACACATGTGGGGAGCAGATTGACACAGAGAGGTGGAAGGAGGTCATGACAAGTGCAGGGAAGGCAAGAACCAGCTCATCTTTGCTCATCAGGGCAATTCAGAATTGCTTCACTTGGCCTAAAGTCAGCAAGAGATGGAGGTTTTATCAGTTGGATGGGGAACGAGGAAGAGCCGTGTCACCATCCAGAAAGGTTTGGACAGGAAGGGTGACACCGGGACGGCAGTGCTGATGAAGGGTGACGCTCAGTATGAGAGTAACGAGAGGAATGGAGGGAGGATGGAGCAACGGGGATTGCAGCACCCATGCTGGAGATAAATACACTTTTGACGTTGAAATGGGGCACTTTCCAACTCATAGCAGCGGAGAGCATCTGTGCCAAGGGTCTCGCATCCAACAGCGAATGCTTCAAATTTAATGCAGAGAGGATGGTAAGGAAAAGCTCAGCACCAGGTAGAGAAGAGAAGAGGTTTGTGGCATGCCCCAAAGCCAGGACTAATGGCAGGAACCCGCTCCAAGCCGGAGGCGTTGTGATTTGGAGGCTGAGGAGGAGGAGATGGAGCTGGGTGTGCTGCAGATGTGAGGTGGCAGTGGGATGAGACAAGGCACCGTGAGTCACAGCTGCATCATGGCAGGGATTTCCACTGAGCCGGAAGTGTTTGCACCAGGGATCAAAGCAATAGGGAATGCACGTGTGTGTGCATCATTCCTGCAAGGAGAGAACGAGGGAGAACGGCTGCACGAGGGGACTGATAACGCAAAACTCTGATTGCAATCCCGCCAAGAGCTCCGGATCTGCCTGCACTGACACGTGATGGCTTGAGCTTGGAAATTCCACAGGCTCGTCTTTCATCCTGACACAATTACATCCCTCCAGTATGCTATCATGGCCAGGAATTCAGCACCAGGGTTGCGTCAGCCCTGGAAGCAACTCGTGTTGCTCAGAGATGCTATCATGGCCACCACCACCCCCAGCTCTGCTGAGCGATGGGGCAGCACCTGGGCATCTCTCTGGGACACCGAGCTGTTGGCATCAGGAAATCCTGGAGTCCTGTTCTCAAAGTGGGATGCACTGCCAGGGATGTGGGCATGTATGTGCATCCTGCTAATGAGTGCTGCAAACCCTTCCGGTCCCTCGTGGCACCCAGCGATGCAATGGCCAGTTCTCCCCTTAATGGTCCTTGATCCAGAGGGGATCAGATAGCCCAGACCCAGCTGGCTGCCCCATCACGGTGTGCCCATTGCTAGCCATGGACAGCAGCACTACATCCCACCACAGTGTGCAGATGCACCACACAGACGTGACCACAGCACTCGTCGCGGCTCCAGGACTCAACTTGCAGTCCTGGCTGTGGATACGACCACAAAACCACAAGTCCCTATGGCTCCATCACCACCAAGCCCCAAATGTTTCCATGCTGGAAGCACAACCCCAAGCCGTACTCACTTCATGTTCTCCACGCAGCGTCCCCGAATTGCCACAAAGGGGGAGAGGAGAGTCGCCATGGTCACGACCCAGATGTTGAAGAAGGTCACTTTGCAGAAGTAGTGGAAGGCAGCACTGTGCCAGTAAAGCAGCACGGGGAGGATGAGGAGGAGCAGCAGCCCGTGGAGAAGGGCCACGTCCATTGTGCCGATGGGGTGTGGGGATGCTGGGGAGCTCAGCCGGCGTCCCCAGAGCTGGGGTGGAGAGTAGGGATGCCGGGAGCAGGGCAGGCGAAGCCAGTGGTTCAGCAGAGCGGTGTGTGGGCGTTCGGGGCTGGTCCAGGGAAGGAGCTGCCCCACACAGAGGCTTGTAGGGCTGGCAGGCAGGCACAGCAGGTGAGGGTGGAGAGAAGGGGTGAGTCAACGCTGGAGACCCTGGGTCATATGAGGAGTCAGTGCTGATATGCATCCTGCTGGGCCACTAAGCACTGCAGTGGCTTTTCACCAACACTTCTTATCTGGGGGGGGGGTCACAGCCCCACTGCCTCATCTGTGCACTCTCACCCAGACCCACCGGTTCCTTTGGCCCTTGGGTTAAAGCCAGCATCCCAGCCGCTCTCTGACAATGATGTGCCTTCAGCAAAACTGCCCTACTGCGTGCTCTCCAGTGCTCCTTCCCCCATTCCTCCTCCCCACTTCTGGTACTGCATGTTTTGAGCCCCGGCCATGGGACACTTCTGTGCTGCTCAACCCAGTGTCACCCCGAGAGGGCTCCAGGGCTCACTTCCACTGCATGTGTTGCAATCCCCATTGCACTATCCTCCCTCCCTTCCTCTCATTATTCCCATATCCAAGATTGGGACATCCCCCGGTGACTCCTCTCTTCCTCCTCATTTTGTCTGCACGGATACACAAAGCGTTGTACATCAGCATGGTTTCACCCCACACTCAGCTCATGGTCTCCATTACATCCCTCATTCGCACCCCACAGCCCCCCACCACCACCTCATAGCCCCCATGGGCACCCCACATGCTCACCCAAGGAGCACACAGCCCCCCTCCCTCACCCCGTTTGCTTGGAGGAAGCCCCACATTCAGGCACAGGGCCAGCAGCCTGGGTTAACGACAGATGCTTAATTAGTGTCAGCAGCGTGCTTTCTTAACAAAGCAAATTAATTACAGGCGATGTGCTGCACTGAGAGCTGAAGGGACTGATGGAGACTGGGGACACCTGGGCTGGCACCATACACCAAAATTGTGCATCCGTGCACCAAAACAGTACACGCACACACCAAAATAACACATTTGGCCAGGCATTTCATCTCTCTCCCCAAAACTGTCAGTACCATGGGGCACCCTGCAAGATCTTCTGGGCTGGAGGATGAGGATGTGCAGGAAGAGCCCCCTTGGGCTGCAGGGTGCTCAGAGGCCCCTTGGGTTCTCAGAGCTGCTCCTCCAGCATGTCGTAGTACTCTGCAGGGGGAAAACACGGACTGAGGTTGGATAGAGGGAGCGGGCAGGGCTCAGCCCCCAGCTGGGCACGTGAGGAGGTCAATGCAGCACCTCCTATGGAAGGTACAGGGAAAAGGTGTTACCTGGTGCTGGTGGGATGTTGGCTCCGACGGTCCCCGTAGCACTGGGGGGTGGAGGAGGTGGCACGGGGCTGATGGAGAGGGATGAGGACAGGAGTGAGTGCCCACCTGGTGTTGGTCCCACATCCCTCTGGTTGTGCCAGAGCTCCCTAGCTACTCACACCTCCCTGTCCTCTGTGGCTGTGCCCAGGTGCCGCACAGCTGCCGGTCCCATAGCCTGATCCTGGAGTGGCCATGCCCAAAGGGGAGCAGAACTGGGATATGGGATGTAGTGGTGATGGAAAACCATGGCTGCCTCCTCCTCCTCCTCCTCTCCAGGCTGCAAAGGCACAGCGGGTATCTGTGGAGAGGAACAGAATCAGATAAGATCCACGCTGGGGGTCAAACCAACACAATGAGCCCCAAAACCCCAAGGAGATCGGAAGGCAGAGGGCACCCATCAGTCCCACCTCATACCTGGGCAGTGGCTGGAGATGGCCCAAACCCAAAGGACACCACTGCTGACACCGCCAGGCTGTTCATCACCACCTGGTGCATTTGGGAGTTCTGAATCATCATCAGCTCGAGTAAATCTGCCGGGGAGCAAAGGGTCTCTGCGTCAGAGAGGGATTAGAGGGATGGGATGGGATGGGATGGGATGGGATGGGGATGGGATGGGGATGGGGACGGGGATGGGGATGGGCAGTGCGGGTGCATCCCTTGGGAGAGCACCAAGGTTTGTCCCTGTGCCAAGCACCAGGAGCCAACCCAGCCCCACACCCCAATTTGGAAGCTCCAGATGGCATTTAAAAATTATTTTGCTCGGGTAAAGCTTTAAAATAGAGATCGTTCCGCCTTTCCTGATTGGCAAATGGGATTAAACATCTGGTCCGGCTGCACACAAAAGGTGATTAGTGGTGCTGGAGGCTGCAGACTTTCCGCCCATTTGGAGGATTGCTGCGGTCCTGGCAGCACACAGGACTTGGCAAAGCCTCCTTGGTGCATCCCCATTAAGACATCCCAATTAAGACATCCTCGTTAAAACGTCTCCGTTAAAACACCCCCATTAAAACAACCCCATCTGCTGCAGGCACGAAGTCCCCCCACAAAGTGCCTGCAAAGCCACTGGTGGGCTGTCCCCAGGGCCCTGCTGGCTTCGTGCAGGAGTGATGTGGAGCTCGCCCTTTTCTCCCTGCGATTGGAGGTAGGAAGACACGAGGATGGTTTCAGCACGGGGCTGCAGGATGGCCGTGGTCACGCACCTCCCCGTAGGTGTGGGGGTCCGGTGGGATGGGCTGTGGCCACGGGAAGCTGCTGGATGATGGTCAGTGGCTGCGGGGACATCGGCACAGGTGGGAACTGAAAGAGAGGAGGGGGAGAAAAGCCCCACGGATGGGGGTCTGGAGGAGGGGGCAGCTCACACCGGGCCCCTCTTCCCAAGGGATCGTGCCTGCACACACTGCCCCAGGGGCACGGCCCCACGGAACCTCCTTGGGGTTCTGCACAGAGCATTTGCATCTTGCAGAAAGCCGATTGCAAACCAAAGCCTGACTCCATCCCCTCGCCTCCCACCCACCGCATTCTCCCCACCATCCCCTGGGCTGATCTATGGGGCTCACCCTATGTGGGATGACATAGGTTCCTGATGCAGCATCCCCCCAGACCCCGCTGGCACTCCCTGCTGCCCCAAGCTCCATGGCCAGATGAGCAGCACCTGCAGCTCGTGCTCGTTGCTATAGCTGCTGAGGGCAAACAAACCCTCCCAGTGGGTTGGGCTGCTCCAGGTGTAACCCCGGGTTGCTTCTCCCTGCTTTTGTCCCCAGGACACCGCACCCACAAAAGGGGTGGCACTAAGGAGGGTTGTGTCCCCTCAAAGGTGATTTTGTCTCTGCAGGGAACCGGAGCTGTGGGTTCTTCCTAGCCCTGTGCACTGGTCCCAGTGTTTTGGAGCACTGGTGCCAGGACTCGGCCCCACCGTGGGCCCACCAGCATCATCCCATGGCTTTGGCCAATTTGGTTTAGGAGTCTTCCCTAAAATCCCCCCATCCCAAAGCTCCATTCCTCAAGGCCACCCATCGTGGATGGGGGGAGATGCCTCTGATCTCAGGGAAAAGCCACCTGGGGATGGGGATGGGGGCTGGTGGGACGTCTTCTCATGCACCTGGCTCGCTGACTGGGATGTGTTGAAAGGCGCCACCGAAAGCTGACAGAAAGCAGCTGGAGGCAGCAGTGAGTCCCCATGGGGCCGGGTGGCACCTGCACCTGGGGCAGGTTTCTATGTGGGAGCACTGGGAGGGGTGTGGGGATGGGGTTCAGCACTGAAACTGCACCCTGCGGCCATGGGATCTTCAGCCTTGGAAGATGAAGATCCACCTGCCCCATGGATGTCCCACGGCCCTCAGACATTTGTGTCCTCACCGTGCACCTGTGGGGTCTCCGTGGGTGCAGGATGAAGATCCACCCACCCTACAGTTGTCGACTCTGACCCCATCCATGACCAAGGCACGGTGCAGTGGGGACCACTGCTCAGCTGCTACTTTGGACTTGGTGCTCATGGATGGCCAAACGTCCTCTAGCATTCAAACCCACTGCAATGTAATTTTTTCCCCACCCTCTCGATGTCCTCTGGCATCTTTCCTCTGCCCCCGTGAGCTCTTCCACTGCCCTTCCACGTGATTTTCTCATCAACATTCAACCCAAATCTCCAAGTGTCCCCTAGCACTGATCTGGGAACATTTCCTGCAGCCCAGAGCCAGCTCTGCTCATGAAGTGGGAACAGATCCCAGCAAAGCCCCAAAACCAGAGACACCTCCATATGGCAGGAGCAAAGTCAGCTGCTGAGACTCCAGCCCTTGGCTCTACAGGGACCATTTTCTACTTGATTACACTTTACTCCATGTTCCTAATTTCTCCAGGCCCCTCTGGATTGTTTCACTGTCTTTTGTTATAGCTCCCAAATTCCCATTATTTGCACATTTGATTACTGTGCTGATTACCCCCTGCTTCTGGCAGAGCCCTGCGTGCTCTGAGCACAGCCTGCGTGTCCGTCGTGCCTGTGCTCATCTTGTTCTCATCTGCAAGAAGGATTCAAGCACTGCAGCAGAAGACTTCTTGCCATGGTAGGACAAGGGGACACAGCAGGAATTCCCTGAGACCTTTCATTGCATCCCAGTCCCCTTTGAGGGTGTTACTGAGACAAACCCAGTGTCAAGCCACTGTAGGTCCGGTGCACCCCAGCCCCAATGCGTCACAACACAGGGCAGAAGCTGGGGCTCAGCCTTGGGCATTTCTTGGGGAATGTCTGGGATTTCTTGCTCTGGAATCCCAAATCTTCACCTTACATCAAGCTCACAGCCTGGACTTCAGCCCCATCTCTGGCTTAGGGTGGGCTCCACCTGCAGCTTCACTTTGGGCCATGGCTTTGCATGGGCCCTGCAATGTCCCTCATCACTTCCTATCTGGAGAGACCCCAAAATGAGGAAACACAGACAGCAGGGATGCTCAGCCCTCTGGTCCTGTGGCAGTCTCACGGTGGTCCCTTGGTGGTCCCGTGGCAGCCCTGTGGCAGCTCCATTCCATTTTGGTCCCATGGTGATCCCATGGTGGTCCCATTTTGGTCCCATGGCAGTTCTACGGCGGTCCCACTGTGATCCCATGCATGGCGCTGCTGCATCATCGGAGCACAGAGGCTGATTTCCCACTGATCGAAGCCAACCACCTCTCAAACTGGGTGCCACCAGGTGGCACCAAAGAAACCAGTTCTGTGGGGACACCTGGGTGTCCTGGGGCCAACACTCCCCTCCTTCCCCCCTCCACTCCACTGTGCCAGCATAAGTGTGGGCTTATTTGCACCCGGAACCATTTTATTTGCTTTCAGATCTCTGATAAAGCCGCCACTCATTGCTTGTTTCCGTGCTGTTGGAAAATTAAATGATTGAAATTGGGTGTTAGCATTTTGCTGGAAACTATGAGATGGTAATGAGGCTGTCCGGGTCCCGGAGGCTCTTTGTGTCAATAGAACTGCAGGATCAGAGCTGTGCCTGCAAGAGCAGCATCGGTCACTCCTAATAACACCGCACAAATGGCTTTAAATATTAAGGGCCTGGTTGCTTCCTTTGCATTTTTTAGCTGTATTTGTGCTACCGCTCCTTTGGACGACCAGGTGAACTGTGCTGGGTGCTCAGTACAACCATTCTGCTCTGGTTTGGCAGTCGTTATCATCAGCTGAGATTGCAATGCCCCATTGCACTTTTCTGAGATTTCTAGAGGACGAGGCAGCCTGCTGAGGGCTTTGGCCAATGCACAGATGGGGCAGAGTTCGGGTCATCCTGCCTGCCACGCACCCAGCCCGCAGCCCTTCTGGGTAAGCAGAGGCATTTGGGAAGGGATTTTGGGGTGTCCCCCCATGGTAAGGACTTGCAGGAACGCCCCTGCCCTGTGTGCACGCATGAATCAGGCCATGCGTTGTCACAGCTGCCTGCACACCATCGCAGCATCCCCTTTGGGATCCCCACCTTCTTTGCCCCCCTCTGCACCCTGCCTGCACCCCGCTTCCCCAACCCTTTGGACATCAGGTTTCCAAGCTCAGCAGCATCCAAGTAGCAAACAAGAGAGCTCTGCAGCCCCGCTGTGCATGCCCGACTGGGGAGGCCGGACCCCAAGGGGTGCAGATAACGGGGTGGTGGGGCAGTGCCAGGCTGGGTGATCTGTGCATTCAGCCCCGTGCATGGGGAGGGGGAGCGGAAGGCGGAGCCTGCACATCGCCGGGGCTGTGACATTCAGTCTGGCTGAGAGACGGAGCTGTGGGCAGCGCAGGGACAGCGGGGCTGGGGGGCACAGGGAGAGGGTCAGGGACTCTGTAAGGGACTGAGCATCCGCTGCGGGAAAGCGGTTTGGGGGGATCTGGGGGAAGGATAGGGTTGGGAAAGAGAAGGGAAAGGGGTGAGGGGAGCAGGGTCACTGCTGGAGCCGGGACCCCGTGCCCAGGGCCATGAGGGAGGAGCGGGGCCGTCCGCAGCCCCTCGGGGACTGAGCGGGGTGGCACGGGGCTGCCTCCCACCATGGGGTGCCCGTGGTTGAACCCCGGCTCCTGCGTGCTGCTGCTGCTCGCCCTGCCGATGCTGCAGGTAAGCGTGTCCCAGGGGGGGCATTACGGGGGGACGGGGTGGCGGTGCCTGCCTGTGGCACCGTGGAGAGTGTAGCACCCACAGTCCTGGTGGGGTGAGCCCAGGGGGTCAGGAGTCCCCTGCACGTCCATCCCACCCCGGGGTTGTGACACCAACTCAGTGTGGGACAAGGTGGCTCCAGAGTCCTTGATGGGGAGGAAACTCCACGGAGTGCTGTGGGGTGGTGGCAGTGCTGCTGTGTGTGTTTTGGTGATATGGGGGATTGGGAGAAGGGATGGGGGAAGGAAGGGAGGAAGGGAGGGAGAAGGAAAGAAAGAAAAGGGAAAGGGAAAGGGAAAGGGAAAGGGAAAGGGAAAGGGAAAGGGAAAGGGAAAGGGAAAGGGAAAGGGAAAGGGAAAGGGAAAGGGAAAGGGAACGGGAGATGAGGAGAGGAGAGGAGAGGAGAGGAGAGGAGAGGAGAGGAGAGGAG